TCCATGCAATGGGTACAGGGTCTTGCGGCTACGCGGCGCACGCGTGGCGCCAGGCGGCCTGCACACAATTGACAAGTAGAGCGATCTCATATGCTCATATATGACCGCGCCGCTAGCTTCGATCGATTAACACTGAGCTTCCGTACAGAACAGAATCACGCAAATTTTCTCGAATTTGCGCGAGTAAGCGGCTGGCCGCCCAATCCATGAGTACTGCGCCTCGAGAAAGATATCTAGGCGTGCGGGCAGGCTGCCTAGCTATAGCCGCGCGCATCCACGAATGTTGCCGGCGCGTTGCCAAGTTTCTACAGACTGCTAGCTCATGTTAGCCATGCATGCCAGATCGATGAACGGCAATGAATGATAGATTGAACTTACGATACTGGCGGCTATCGTAGAGAATAGAATTCTAAGCTATTTTTGGCAATGCCAGCAAACGCCGTCAGGCGTGGCATTGCCTTGTATTGCCCCTATTCGTCCTTTCCCGTTTCCGCCTCCACAATCCATTGCCGATCAACATTAAAATTTGAACGACAGTTCCGACTCCAAGTTGTAGAAGTTGCAACTCAGTGACTTTCCTGGAATCAGAGGCCGGACAAGTTGTAACAACTTCAAGAACTTCTGCAGCTGCCGGTAGAGTCTGCACCGGGCACCCAATAAGGCTGAAGTTATGAAGTACAGGCCCAGCTGCGCCCGGCAAATTCGAATAGTGTGGCCCGCGGCGAGTACCGGGCATCGTCTTACGGCTCGTATCTAGACCGAGATGAATCTCACACATGCGATGGAGCTGAGCATTGCCATTTTTCGCGATTGATAAATCGCCCCCAGAACTTGTTCAAGTACTAGCTGAGTTAATCCGATCATCGTACCATGCAATCAGATCGGATCGACTCAAAGAACATCTCTAAGTAGCTATACTGGGCGGATCACTTGAACGTCCGGTCGTGCAAAAGGCGCGTCCCGGGCCAACCTGGCGGGTGCGGCAAACAGTGACCACTAAATCCAACATCCAATGATCAACATACCCATATGTACGAGCGACGTACCGTACGTGTAAACAAGATAGACTCACTGGGCTTCACACGCGTTCTAACTTCTGACCCGCTAATGCACGCCAACTGCTGTTGCATTTACGACGACGCAATATGACGCAATAAAGAGGCCTTCAAATGTCGTCATGATCCTCCTTGATCCGAGCCCCGGTTAAGCAACGATCCCCTCAACGAGCATAACTCATCCTATCAAACACTCTGCTTTGGGCTTTCAAGTCCCCCGCACGGAGAGAAATGCGAAGCCCCTCGCTAATCTATGCTCTAGCTGCGTATGCTTTGCTAGCGCTCTACACTGCAGCGGCGGCGAGCCCCCTATAAACTCAACTTCGTACGACAACCTCCTCTGATATTCCGGTCTTCTTGAATAAATAGCAATCTAGGATTGACCGTCAAGAGGGCACTTGTCGGTGGACTCTTTTGACAACCTGCAGAAATGACATTCGGCGGTATTGTAACGGCCAAAGAAAAACTGGCAACGTGTAATCCTCGTGTTGCTCCACAAAAGATATCATGCGTGACAGACGCCTTCTCAGGGATGCACTTCCGAAGGACGCCTCCATGAGACTTCCTTCGATCACGAACCTTAAAATCGGATCACAACCGGGGAAGCAGAAGAGCAAGCTCGACGAATAAGCGAGAATCCGTAGCGAAGAAGATCTTTTATCTCCGCAGACCACAGACGTTCGTTTTCACAGTGCTGTGGAGTGCTCATTGCATGGGTGACGACTTCGCCTTCAGCGTTGCTGGTCCCTCTTTACGACCTCCGTTGGGGCTAAGAATCTCCGTCAAGGCGAACTACTCTCCGCAAGACGGACAGCTTGGCTTCTCGACTGTCCAACGGAGGGAACCATTTTCCACTCGGCTCACACTGTATCCGTCTGGTGTTCCTCAATACGCTTCGAAACACATCGGCCTCGTTCAAACGGTCGAGTAACCAGACACGCTATTGGCTTAAGGCAAGCCAAGAAGCTCGGGTTTCAGACACCGGCAAAGCAGCGTTTGCATTCCAACCTAACCAGATTTGACACCAGCCAATCCCGGTCTTACAAACCAATCGGAACAGATTCCATCGCCCCTCACCTTCTTTTCCCGCCCAAAAATGTCCTCACACCTCCTCTGCAGCGGGCACTTGGTAGCCCTTAGGGGACCGCCCCGCTCCATTCCCAGGGGAAGCCAGCGGTGCGTCATATTTGGCGGAAGAATACTTCTTGGACGCGTTCTGCGCTTCCAGCTGGCGCCTCATTAGCTCTAGCTCCGCCGCCTGGCCCGTCTCCATCACCGCCTTGGGGTATAGCCTATCGTGCAGCAGCGCGTCGGTGTCGCGCCACTCGATAAGCAGGCGGCTGCCCTGCGCGAGCGCTTCCGGCCCGAGCCGCTCCGTCGCCTCGCGCCGCCGGTGGATCATCTCCGAAAACTCGGACCACGTCAGGTAGAGCGAACCGAAGAGCGTGATGAAGTAGAGAATGAGCCCGATCGCCGCGGTCGCGGCGCTCCCGCGCACCGTCACGAACGCGTACGACTCCGCGAACACGACGCTCGAAAAGTTCCCGGGAGCGTAGTTCTGGAGCCCGACGGAGGTGTACGAAACGGGCTCGCGGTGGTTCGCGAGGCTCCGGCTAATGAGCGCAAAGTTGGGGATGTTGAACAGCGTGATCCCGAGCGCGGTGATCATGAGCGCGACCGCGCGCGCAATGGGGGTGGAGATTTTGCGGCGGCGGTAGACCCCCAGCCGGCCAATCGCGCGCGCAATGATGATGCCCGCTGACGCGAGCGCGACCTCGACGGCGAGGATGGAGGCCGCGTTGGCGGCGACGGAATCCAGGTGCAGCTTGACCTCGGTGCTGCTGATGAGGTAATTCTTGGTCGTCTCGAAGTCGATCGACACCTGAGATGACGTCAGCACGACAACGTCAGCTCGACTAGTGCACGACGCGAGAAGACTGAGCTTGGTGCGCGATGCGGGAATGCGCCACAGATGAGGCTTGAGTAGAGTGTGGGTGCAGCTCGACTTCGGGGCTGCTGAGGAGGTCGTTCTTGGTCTACTCACAGTCGGTCAACACCTGGGGATAAAGAAGGATGACGTCAGCGCTTTGTACATCAGAATATCCTGCGCCAAAAAAAGAAGGATGGCCGCATGTGCAAGATGACCAATCGGATGGAACCAATCGGATGGGATCAATCATGTTAGGATCCCACCTGAAGGCAGGGAAACAGGAAGTCTTGGAGATTGAAACCTAAGTGCTCGGTATTATTCAAAGTGTCTCAAAAGGGGGGGGGAGAGGGAAGAAGAGCGCTGGGGCAGTCTTGACTCCTGGTTTGCCAAAATCCTCAACAAGCTGTTCCATTGTCTCCCTTCAAAGTCGACCGAAACACAAAGATGACGTCAGCATATGATGCCATCTATGTTAGCATGATGCAGACAGTCACAGACGGAAAGAAGTCCCCAACGGCCGTTTCTGAAGCTAGGTCAAACAAGACCAGCTGGGGGGCTGGCTGGGATAGAATTGTTCAGGAGCCTTGAAGGATCGAGAACCGGTTTGCCTTGCCTTCAAAACTCTCAATATTTTCGGAACCTACAGAATTGTGGCTCAAAACGTTAAGCAGCAACTCGTGGTCACATCAGAGGGCCCATCTTGATTTGTGCACTTAGTGAGCGTGCGTAGTAACCCGATTCTGCTAGGTGGTTAAAATGGTGTTGACATAGGAGCAGAATCTGTTCCACTAGGGATTGAATGCCTGCTGTTTTAAAGCCTCCTGTCAAACTGGTGGCACAAGGCCTTTACAGGGAGGGTTGATCTTCTTATGCCTACACATCCTTATGTCTTGACGATAGAAGTGAGCAAGGGCAATGCGCAAATCTGAGCAGCTTCACTGCTGGTCTTAGCACTGATAATTTCTCACAGCTGGTCGCGTCAGAGAACTGTCTCAGATCTGTCACCTGCAGAGTACACATAATGGCGAATGCCACTACCCACTCTTAGAAGCCGTGTTTTTCCAAAGTGAAAAACCACCTTTCAAGCACCCATTGTTAACTGTCTTTGAATGTCATGGCTTGCAACACAACCACCTGCAAACGGAGCCTTGTAGGCAATACCCCTGAACTCTACTTAAACCTCAAATCCTTTCACCCATTGAAATTGGAACAGCCAACAAGCATTGAAAGGCCCAAGGCCCGGTCCATTCTGAAGACCTGGAAATCCTTACGCCACTCGTGCCCCAAAGCCTCTGCAAACCCGATCGGAGTGAGGGATATGAGCCGCCTTTCAGGGTCCTCTGCGTCTCCCAGAAACCTCGGAACCCCGGGACACAGTTTGCCCCTAACAACCCTCCAACCCCTTACAAACCCCAACTGCTCAAGATCCTGAAATCAATACACCACGTTTCTTGTAATGGAAAACCCTAAAAACCCTGAATCCTTAACAACCAACCATTACAGTCTTGTCACGCACCTGAGGGAAGATGTTCTGCACCGACAGCACGTAGTTATTGTAGCAGTCTGCGGTCTGGTTAGCCAGGAAGAAGTTGGTTAGCGCCGCGGGCGTGGATGCGGGGAAGAAGCCCGCAGCGACCACCGCCTCGCGAGACTGCGTGGCATCTCCGTAGAAGATCGCCGCGCACGCGTCCTCACCCGGGTCCCGGCTGCTCGTCGAGAAACTGTTGCCGGTGAGTGCGAAGCACGGCTGGTTATCGTTGTACGGCAACAGGAGGTCGAGGAACGTCTGGTTGTTCGTGCTGTCCCGAAGCGCATTGCTCTGGCCGATAACAAGAGGCCCGTATAGATACTCGAACGCCTGGAAAGCGCACGTGCCGTTGAACCCGAGAGCTTCTCCAGCCGCCGTCACTGTCGCCACGTCGTCTGCGAGCGTTGCTTCGTAGAACGTGGTTTGAGCAACTAGGGAGGTTAGCGCAAACAACCGCTGGGGGGTGTCATACAGGGAGCGGCACAATGCTGAGATTCCCGCGAGGGTTATCTTAACCGTCCTCGCTACCGCCCCCAGTTCCAGCACTTGCTTCACAATCACGGGGCCAATGGTCCCGTAAACGACCGCCAAACTCCCGTCGCACCGGTCTGGGGGCACAATGGACTCCGTCATTATCTCAACCCCTGAGGGGCGGTTTGTGGCAAAAAGGAAGGTATTGCCTTGGTTGTTGAGGCAGCCAAACTGGGAGTTTTTGGTGAACTCGCCAATGCTCGCCCAAGCTGTGAGCGGCACAACCGGACTGCAGGCCCGAGGCTGAACGTTCACCTTATAGTACAACTGCGTGTCGTACGTTTTGTCCATATAAGAACGCTCCTCTGCGGCCGCTAGGAGAGCATTTGCTGTCGCCTGGTTTGCGTTAAGAAGCCAGAAACTGCTCCCAATCCCGGCCCGAACAACAGAAAGGGCGTCTGCAGGCCCCGGCCGGTTTGGAGCAACACCTGTCACCAGAATCCTATCCATGATTGCGCAGTTGTCGTCTGCACAGCGCAAAAGCTTATAGAAAATTTCTACAGTAACCTTTCCCCCAATCCCGCCCTTGGAGTAGAAGCCCCTGAGAGGGGAAATGGTGCGAGCAGCACTTATGGGATCTGCGTCCGCGCTTATGTTGTTCACCAGAGCATAAGCGTTGGTGCCAGCATTGTTGCGCTGGGTCAGCAGCCTGTAATAGGCGAAACCGGACCCCAGCTTATTGATGTAATAAGCACCCAGCTCAGGGGTGACCGTGGAAGGGATTACAATGAGGCCCGCATTTTGAGCTTGCGTTGACGAGACAAAGAGGATAATCAGACAGACCAGAGCAGAGTAGACCGCCATTTTTGGTGACATTGGAGCGTCCACACGAGACAGCAGAGCAGCTGGATAGCGCCCCTGCTAACTTCTAAGTTGCCCTTCCAGCTTGGCTGGCAGTGGAAATGAGCAAACAAGCTAGAAAGCTGTAATAGGTAAGCACTTCCGTATCGTAGCTGTGCTACTGGCCAGATTTCTGCTTAGGATCGTCCTTGGTGCAGTGGTGCCATGACAGTGGTGCCACAACTGATGACACTGACAGGGGATTGCTGCAAAATTGCATTCTTGCTGAGTGACCACATTCTGCAGCTGGTGCGGCCGCCGGCGCAATCATCCTTGAAGAGACGGTCGAATCCAGGAATACCGTAATATACCGTACTTTTAATATGGAAATTGAAGTAGGCCAAGCTAAACTTAAAATCAAACCCAACAGTCCACCTGCTCCACATTCGCGTAGTCACCCTAAATCCTCAACTAACCTAGAACCATCGAAGCGTGGTTACATAGCTCACTCCTCACGCCGCATACCTAATATTCCTGAATCCTGATGAACCTCCATCTCAGCTTGAGCTCACGGGCCTTGAGCCTTGACAATGAAGACACATGCATGAGATGTGGTGTCAAACCGAAGTTCAGGTGTTGAGGTGCAGTCAGAGCACCGGTCACACGTTGGGCCAGTGAATGTATCCGTGGTCCATGCCCGGTGGCTACACACAAATGGACACCACATGGCAAAGTGTCGTCAGCCTACGCATTGAAAACAGTACTAATGATTGGCAAAGCTTCAATCATCAAACTTCTTGAAGAAACTTTTCAGCCGTCCGATAATCTTGATATCGGATAGTCCGTTAGATACAAGTTGACAGTGCTTGAGCATTTACTTTCTGGTTTCTGAATAAAGGTGATTGAGCAACTACATAAAGCACCGTTCGATAAGCCATTATTCTTATCGGCCGGCATTCAAGCCAGCTTGATGACCTCGATCCGTGGTCGCTTTTTCCGCCAATCAGAGTCCACGAGCTCGCCGCCAAGCTTCTCTTCAAAAGCAGCTAGCCAGCTGCGACAGAGCAAACGTTTCCATTTGCAGACTCTGAACTTTCCAGTCTTGCTTTCGCGCTTGCAACCAATTTCAACCATGGCTCCCAAGGCTGCCGAGAAGGCCCCTGCAGCTGAGAAGGCCCCCAAGGCCGAGAAGAAGCCCGCCGCTAAGGCTGAGAAGAAGCCGGCCAAGGAGGGCGCCAAGGGCAAGAAGAAGGCCAAGAAGGGGACTGAGACCTTCAAGATTTACATCTACAAGGTGCTGAAGCAGGTGCACCCCGACACCGGCATCAGCAGCAAGGCCATTAGCATCCTCAACTCGTTCATCAACGACATCTTTGAGAAGCTGGCCACTGAGGCGTCCAAGCTGGCACGCTACAACAAGAAGCCGACCATCACCTCCCGCGAGATCCAGACCGCGGTGCGCCTGATCCTGCCCGGCGAGCTGGCGAAGCACGCCGTCTCTGAGGGGACCAAGGCGGTCACCAAGTTCACCTCTGCGTAAGCAGGGGTGCTGTCTTTTACAGGCCGCTTGCAGCCTACCTACCAAAACTGGTGTTTTCTAACACCACCTCTGTTTCAGAAATTATCAGGCTCCTCAGCTACCAAGGATTGCTTTCCAGATACAAATGCAGTTTAGCTCATTGGGACAGAGACTCATGTTGCTTTGACAGGCTGCTCAGCTTGTAGTTGAGGAGATACGGGCACATCGAACGGTCGACTGAAAAACTTGTTCTGGCAGATACGGAGTGCAAGCAATACGTCGTACAAGCAAAAAGACATTGCTCGATACAGTTGCTTCGGAAGTGCTTGTTTTGTTTGGCTAGCCTCTACTCTCTGAGCAAGTAGAGATGCTGAATATATACAGAAGTAAGACAGATTGAAGCATTTGTCATGAGCAGGCTTGACCACTGAAAGGCCTCTTGTTTTTGAGCAAGCAGCAATCGATGATGCTGGCAAGCAGATTCTCGCCTTGGTGTCTCCTGTGTGAGTATGCAGATTTTGATCATCCATCAGTGCATTCATGAGCAATGATTTTTGCAAGTATCCGTGCTCCTGTATCGTTGGGTATAACTCGACAGAAAGCAGCTTTTGGCATGCTGCTAACCATGTTCTTCAGGAAGGAAGTACTTCACATAAAGTATTGCTTTGGTTGCATCTTGGATTGGTACTACCTATTTGTTCAAGGAGCACCTGGGCATGGCAGCGTAGTATAAACGAGCCTCAGAACCCAACTTTGATATGCACTTGCCGCCATTCAAATGCATCTAGATATGCAATTCATTGGATGTTTCATGACCACCAATCGTAGTGCATGGGCTTGGGTCTTGCAACATTCCACTTGTCTATATAACTATTGTGCATATGCCAGAACATACGAATGCACATGCTAGCTTTGGCAGGGCCTGGCATGATGGATGCATTACATGTAGGCCACTCGAATTAACAACTGAGTCCGCATTGAAAGTGCGGTGCAAATGAGCATGCAGACATACATCCGGTCACTGCGCGGTGACTCCCAAAAGTGCTGCTAGGTATAGAAAACGATCAAGTCATGCAGTGACCATCACATCATTGAGGTATACTGAGCCGCCCTGCTAGGTTTAAGGCTCCGAGCGTTCATGCATACGTTGCATGCTGCAGCGCGCTCGGGCCAGCCTCGGGTTGATGTCAACATGCTGGCATGGCACGTGAGTCCACTTTTTGATCTCCGTTGTGGTGAATCTAAAATTTGAACCATGCACCTCAAAGCTGTATCAAAGATGTCAAGCCACTAGCTCATTCATTCATGTACTCATTGTCTGTTGGAGATTTGACGCGTCTGCACTGGTAGCATGAGGGTTTCAGATACGCAAGTTGCATCCGATCCATCATTGGTCAATCAACTGGATCATAGTCTGGCAGGTCGTCCGGATACTGGTCAAGCAGGAACCGGACCAGCCCCGAGCACGACAACACCATGATCGCTACCATGCTTCGCCAAGCAGCCCACTCTCGCATGTACGGTCTTTCAATCTGCAAACGAAGATGGTCGCAGCTTTTCGGGATTGTGAAGAGCCATTGTGCCATCTGCTAAGCACAGCTTGGTTGGACACAAAAAGGAAGCTCTGAAATCATTGGACCGCCATCTTGACGGGTGACTGATTGAAAACAGGACGGCTCGGTTGGTTGTGATGGTCAAGCATGTAACCGTTGAGTAGCCAAATCCTGAAAGAAGCCTGCGTTTAGCTCTTCAAATTCTGCAAACCTGTTGAATCTGCGTTCACGCATGCAGATTAGCGCATTAAGAGGCAAACGTAGCGGATTAGGAAACTTGTCTATGCAATCTCCAGACGATGACTTCCCAGGATTGAGGCATGTACAAGTGGGATCCGTCCTCAACGACTCATGCAGACTCGCTTGATTGGCGCGACAAAAGCGATTCGCTGACCATGTTTCACACATCCTGGAAAAAGGTCAACCTAAATGAGAACCAACGGCACAAATCAACTCAAGGAAGACTTGGAGAGCTTTCGATGGCACGGCCTTACTTCGAGCGAGCTACGGGCGCCGGGTAGGGCAGACTCCATCAACTCGGCCAACTCGTCTTCCAGATTCGACGCGCTCCCGTAGTTAGCAAAGTCCATCAGCAAACGCACCTGCCAAAGCGAAACGCGGTATTGCTGAGCTGGCCGTATATGAAATGTTCAGACGGAAGAGGCGGCTGCTTTTTCTTGTCAGACGTGCTCCTGAAGGAACACTAAGCTCAAAAGACAGTTCTGCAGCGACTCTCGTCCTGGACTTCAATGGATTCTTTCAAGGTTCCCGCGTGACAGAACCAAAATTTTGGATTGAGCAGATGTTTCCTGAAGTCGGAAGCACTCTGATCACTGGGCAGAGTTAATCTTTCTCAGGAAATTCACAGTCCTCTGTCCATCACGGGCATAAGTAATTAAGACGTGAATCAGCAGAGGCTTCGCTAGGACACGAAAGAAGTCTGGCAAAGATAGCTCTCTAGTTCGCGACCGACCCGCCATCAAAATGATCGAGGGGAATGGTTAGAGTCTGAAACATCTTCAACCTCAGTAACATCGCCAACGAGGATTCTCGAGAGGGCAGAGTCCCCGAGCAGAATCGCCACAAACCATTCTGAGGCTTTCTTTCAGACTCATCTTTGGTAAGAAGACTTTGGAGCTCCACAGCATGCACAAGATACTGTCCGAGCAGTGGGTTGAATCTCGGGAAAGTTGCGTCAATGAGCATGCCTTGTGACCACGAACAAATTGAGGCGCACTGCCAGATGATTGCTTCATGGGTCTCCCAATCTTGCGTGGAATCCGCGGCCATTTCTGCAATGAAACTCGAATAGTAAAAGCTGCTCACTTTGTGGCCGTAGGTGCTCTGCTCGTCGGGGGACTCGTCGGCAACCATTCGCATGATCTCGTCCCGCACGCCGATATCGACGGCCACGATCATGTCGTGCATGTCCAGATCGCTGCAGCGGGGGGCAGACGAGACTTCACGTCAGCAAAGAGCGGAATGGCATCATTAAACCTTCTGCTGCCATAATGTTTGTAAGTTATTGGGAGCAACACTCTGCAAGGGGTGAGAGGAACAACAGATTCCGATCCCATTGATGGCACTTCACAGGCCCGGTTTGACGCTCCTCTAAGTTGAGGAAGTAAGCAATTGTGGACCCTGATGCTTTTTTTTCTTAAGCTACCATCCTTTTACAGACGAATCCATAGTCTAGAGGCGCTGCCCTCCGCTGATTGCTAGACGTGTTCCGCATGACAGTGCGAAGGAGTTCAGTCCACCGGTACGAGCTTCTGTTCTGTGCAGTTCTCAAGGTTCGCCTGAAGATATCTTTGTCCAATTTTTAACGTGGCATGCACATCAGGCATCGACCTTTGGATGCGAGAGATACCTTCGATCCGATTTTGATTTTCCAGGAAAATGCACGAGTCAGAGCGCGCTAGAGTTGCAAAACGCGACAATACGTGTACGGTGCCAGCGCAAGCTGCAAAAATGGTGCAATCGACCAAGGTGCTTTAATCGTGCGTGGCAATCCAAAGCTTAGCATCCATCCACACGCCTTCCTCCCCGAACCCGCTCTCAAAACCAGCCAAAAATCGATTGGAACCTGTTACCCACTCGACTTTGATCTGCCGACAGTCAAGGAAACCAGCCAAGCGTAAGGAGAAACGAAACGACTCGGAAGTCAATCGAAACAGGACATGCTATCATGCGGAAGCATACCTACGTTGGAAACGCGTTGGAGGCTCCGTGACAATGTATTGCCCGATCCGTAGCCGTCCCGCTTCTTCTAGCAGGCGGCTTGGAGGCGAGTCCCCTTCGGCCGGGTCGATCCCGGATGAATGCTGCAGCAAATGAGGTGCACATAGCTTGACGGGTAGTCTGTGCTGCTTCTGCTTCCCCCTTAAGGTAGCGTGTCGAATCTCAAAAAGAGTGGCTCAAATGCGAATGGGAAGTCTGTGAGCGGCTAAGATTGGAGTTTCTTCCCCTGGCTTGGAAAGCTAGGCGTTGTGAAAGTCAAAGCCTCAAAGAGGACAAATCAAAGGGCACTTCACAAACCAGTCTTCTAGGAACCATCACGAGGTGGAGGGCAAGCAATTACAAGCACGTGGAATCAGGCTATTTGATAAAGTGCTTTTGGTAAGAGCCTCAGAAAATGAAATGAATGGCCAAGCATTTCGAACATCAAGTCAGCTCCGAAGAACTGACTCAAAAAGAGTAGCCTAGTTTTTTCGCCATAAAATCCAAATTCAAAAAATCCAAATTGTGAAAAAGACGTTTTCAAAAAAAAAATCCATTTGCAAAGCAACCTCAACAAATGATTCTGGCGGGCTTCGACATCCTCTAAATTGTTGAGGCAAATTTCAGGTATACCCTTAAGAAGGAACAACAACGATAAGATTCGAAATTGCTAGCAGAACGTTCAAAATCAGGAGAGATAATTAGCAGTGTCCCAAAGATAATCACTCGAAAATACTTCTTGAAACGAGAAAGATGCATCAAGAGAAAGCGACTCTTGGTTGGCCTTCAGAGGAAGTATGTTCGTAAAAGTATGTTTAGCGAAGACAAAGGAGGTCAGCTAGGAGGAGAGTCAATCTAAATCCAGAGAGGAGCTTAGCATCTGGGCACAGTATTTTCAATCTTAGAATGGGGAGTAACGAAGTCTTTCAGTGGTCAGACGATAGAGTGGGAAATGCAAAAACCGAATCGATAACCTTACCGGCTGCAGCGCCAAGCCCGCTCCGTTCCAGGACGCAATGCGCGTGAACAACCCCTCGACCAAACGCGCGCGCACCATATGGTACCGGTCAACAAACATTACCTGCACAGGCAATATCTCTTTTTGTCTGTGCTCGAAAGATCGCTGTTGCTGAGGGACAAAAAAAAACTTGAGGTTGGGGCAGTGTGTAGCATGCGCTCTGCCCAGAAACGAGCTTTTGCATCTGGATTTTCCTATTAAATATTACGGTCCGTCTCCTTCCGGCGGGAGCCGCAATTGCAGACTGACTTTAATCCCCTCAATCGCCGATGCACGATCAAGAGGCGTTGGAGTGCCCCGTGCACCTTGACTGTATGGCAGAAAGATGTATAAAGCGAGGACGAGGAGAAGTTTTGCTTCTTACAAAATACACCCGCACCGTGTGTATCTTGATGGCAGTGACTACGTAAAAGTGACAGGTGCACTTCTAAGAGTTGACCACTGGACTCCACCTCGACTCATTTTCCAGATTGATCTTAAAACCAATTTGAGAAACCGAGCCGCTCACTTGCATATGTTTCATGGGTTTATGGCGCTGGGCATCAGTCGGAAGCTTGGCGGAGATTAGAGAAGAGAAGCAAAAGCCCTGTTCAACATCAGCTGAGCCACCAATTTGCACCACCAAAGGTCTTCTGTGCGGCCTCCTAATGGACTTCCTACACCCTTTGCCAACATATCTCTAAGTTGGCGGCTAATAAAAACAACACGAACACTTAAACTCCCTCTGCCACCCTAAAAGCAACCTGAGCGTGTACCTGTAAGTGGTACCTGCCCCAGTCCAGCGACTGGCCCCCCTCCGTCATGCGCGCCATCTTCCATTGCAGAAGCGCGTCCCCGACTGTGTCCACGTCGCAACTTGCCTGTGATGAGGAAGGCCCCTCGTCCATTCCGGCGTCACTACCACTGGACGCGGCTGCACTAACTAGACGCGAGCTCATTTTCTGAGCCTTCTGACGCGAAAGAAGGGCGTTGAGTAGTCTTGCTTGGCATTGGCACTGGCGCTCTGTGACGAAGGGTTTAGTTTGCGGATTTCCAGTTCCGTTTATACGAGTGGCTTTCAGAGGGTCTGGAGGCGGCAGCTGATTAGGAAAATCTAGGTAGCCTCGTTTAATCTGTTCTCCTTGATAGCAGTGAAAAGACCTATCATGCTGCGCGTCCGAAGAACATAACTTGTTCCTCTTTAGGCTCCAAAGAGTGTGAGAATGTTGTGGAGAGATGCTGCTTTTCCTAGCTGCTGTAGAATGTAATGCAGCTAAGCCTCTCTGGCACGTGATCTCTGAAGCATGCATTGCTTTCCGCTGGGGGCTGATTCGTCCAATGCTGCACGAGCCTTTCAATGTCAAGATGCAAATATTCGTGTTGCACCCCACGTCAACTATAAAGAGCGCCACTTCAACATGGAAGGAAGCTAGGTGCTCCCTTGGAACGCCCTCTATTGGTGGTCAAGCCAAGTGGTGGCCACCTCATATGAGCTCGAAGCGACGGAGGATTTGTTTCTTTGAAGTTTGAGAGGGTCGGAAGCAATGTTCGCATGGCGAAACTAATTCTTTTCGCCAACTT